AATGGTCTGTGGAACTGCTGTTTTCTAGAGCAGGAAGGGGTCATGAACAGCAGAGACTAGTCCAACGGATCATAACCCAAGTTCACAATGTCCCTAGTTCAGGACAAAGCTCTATTACAGCCTGCAAGTTCATCAAATACACATTTAATTCTGATAAAAATTAACAGGTTAATTTGGCAAACCATACCTGAAATCAAGTACTAGTTGTCAAAGGTTGCCAAAGGGCTGTAAGTACAGCATATATCAGTTAATAGCTCAGGGAAGTAATGCTGTCACAGCAGCATTGGTTGGACCAAGCTGCTGAGGTCTTCAAGCAGATAATGTGAGCTCTGGCCACAAGGAGAAGCTGCTCAGCAATTAGAGTACAGTTTACTTTAACCAATGAACTCCATGGAGAGAAAGGGTAGAAAGTTGTATTCTGATCCTCACTCCTGCCCCAGCCTTGATGATTTCCCACTTCACCTGTCTTTAATTTTCCCATCTGAAAAAAAAAACAAAATAAGCGCCACAATTCTTTCTTTCTTTATTTCAGAAAAGTAGAAGGGAAAGTCTCATAGCTCACAGCAAAAAAATCCACAGTATATCTAACTTCTATATGCAAAGAACACCACATGCACCAGAACATTCTGCCTCTCTTTCTCCCGTTTAGGCTGGTATCAATGCACACTACAAGCATTGTAATGCACATTACATGGTTCAAGCAGTTTGACTACAGATTTGAAACAACAAAGTGGACATACTCCCATCAAATGGAACTCACTGCCAAGACTCTGGTGATAGCAAGCACCTTTTGTTTAAGGCTGGAAGCTGAAAACATTTATACCTTTGCTTTCCAGCAGTCTACCCACAGAATATCAACACTGACTGTGAATGGAATTGTCCACATTTCCCAAAGGGTAGCACATAAAGAGATTTTTTCCTGCTGCCCTTTTATGCTTTTGTTTTGCTGCTCATGTCAAGGACACTGCATGGGAAAGGGAGGAGTAGACAGGATATGCTATATGAGCTCTGTTATTAGAACCTTTCCAAATACGCGCCCATGATTACCTCCCATTCCATGACCGCCTTTAGTTACCGCCTCAGCTGACTTCTCAGAAGAGCTTCCCCTCCACCACTTCGTGAATAAACGTTATTTCTGTTTAGTTCTCATGTCAGACAAATTCCTTAGCACACCAGCTGTTTCCAGTCAAACCATTTCAAGCATGAATTTATCATTATAAACAAAAACAAACGTAAGTTAATCCAAGAACTAAAAGCACGTTTGCATCATTTATTATACTTACCATACATAAACTATAGTAAACACAGCTGTATAAATGTATCATTTATTTCCATATCTCACTGTGCAAATTCAAGCTAAGAGGCTACTAATACCAAAAGATCCATTAGTCACCATTTTCAGGAAGAAAATGCCAACACTGATGCAGTGCTGCTGCAGTGCATCGCTTTTGCCATACCCAGCATCCGAGAAGCAGAAAGTTCTACATAGGGCTTTATCCTTACGGTTTTGTTTTTAAATGAGTGTTTTCTAAATGTTTTATCTATTGATGTGATATTCTGCAATCAAGGAAGACTGTTACCTTCAAATTCCCTGAGAAGGGAAAATGTTCTTTTCCAGTATTTTTCTTTCTATTGCGTACCAGCAAAAGACGATGCTTCCACTAAGCTTCCTTAGTTTTTCTGCATGGTTCTCACCACTGCAGAGGCTTCTGTCCTTGTTTTGTTATCCCAAATGACAAGCAATAGGAAGATTACTTTTTGGTTACTCCTGGAGTCACCTTTAGCAAGCAGGGACAGGAAAGAATACCTCATTACCCCTGTTCAAAAAAGCTTACTATTATAAGCAAACAATTGAGAAGAAAAAAAGTCTCAAAGCCCAACAGAGAGTATCAGAGAACCTTCCAGAGAAGATGTGTAACCGTATGATCATGCACACTGTTTCCAAGGTGGAGTCCTAAATATCCATAAAGGTGGCAAACATCCCATCATAAAAACTGTCTTACAAGACAACAAATTTTGCATTACTTTTCCTCTGAAGTTCATGTAGGTTGAACCTTCCATCATTATTTTATTAGGATTTTTACCTGGTTAAGAAAATTAAATCAGAAACAGAAAGGAAGTTAATGACAATATAATTATAAACTTTGCTACAGGCTGTCATATGCTTACAATCTCCACAGTTATGCAGATTCAAGAAGTAATTTATCTGCCTGTTCCCAATTTCCAACTGACACATCTGACTCAGACCCTAGTATGGTGGAAGAAGCAGAAACATGCGTCTGAAAAGACAGGTACTTCTGCCAGAAGGCACTAGCTGTGTAAAACACAGAGGAAATGGGGCTTTATTTTGATCGGCTGGTTAATTGGTTTTTTAATCCCAAAAGGTTTCATTTAAGTTTATGATAATGTTTTTATTTTAGGATACACATCTTTTAGCTTCAGATCCTTATAAACATCTATACAGTTTTTGTATTAACCTCCCCTGCCTTTCTACTATCCCCTTTTACGATACACACTTCTAAGTAATCTCAACTGGTTTAATCCTCCAAAATGGGAATCACATCTTCTGCACTCCTGCAAAGATCTATGTTTTTCCTAGCTCCAGACAATGAAGCTTTATCCTCTTAGTCACGGTAGCTGAAGGCAACACAGCCTCTTTTGCCATGGATAACTACATAAACCCTTCCTCCATCTCATAATCTGTACAGGCCTGAAAAACAGGAAGCCTATTTAATGGAGTAGTACAGCTGAAGTAATGGGTGCTCAAGAGTGTTACTGATAAGCAGCCTGGTAGCAGACTAACAACTGAGATGCCTGTAGTCCAAAGCACTAAGAGCTTTTGCAAGATCCTTCCAGCACTGTACAACGAGGACGTGCAGAACAGGAAGTGTCCAAGTAATACAGTACACGCTGAACACATGGTGCTGGGAAGGACTGGTGTTTGAGAGACTCCTTAGCTTCTGGATAAAAATCAATCATTAACAAAAACAACCCTAACCTATTAAATCTGCAAAACAGTATGCAGTAGAAAGCACACGATACAAGATACAAAATACAAGGAATTAATCAAGTGAACTGGAGTTTTGTGTTCTGCTTCTTGACATCAGTAGGGAGCACCATGCCTGCCAGCTGCCAGACTCCTCATGTACCTGAGCAATAAATCTGGTGACCGAGCTACCTGACAGACGGTGAGCAGGGCGCAGTGTGGAGGGAGGAACTATCCCACTGCCGTCCAGCACAGCCCTCACTTCAGCGGGCCCCTCCTTCCACTCTTGTACCAAAAGTGTCCAAATCCACTCTCCAGTCACGTCACCCGAAACTCACCTTTCCAGTGACAGGCGTTATTATAAACACAGGTACTCCTGGCTCCTAGCATTTTCCTAAAGGAACTGTTTTAGCCTTCAGACGCACTTCGCATGGGATGTATGTCCTCCCTCTACACTGTGGCCACAACAGTGCATCTCTGATCCCGCTGAAGCCTGCTCATCATCCTCGTCAGTTTCCTCCCTTAAGTATCAGCAGTCAACGAAATCACTTCCTCTCAGCAATTTCATAAATGAAACTAGCTCCTTATATTTTGTAATTTAAAATGTTTGATTAAATTAAATATTATGCTGCCCAAAAGGCCATTAATGGGGTATCAGTTATCCAGCTATCACTGTAACTGTAGCTACCACAACTTCGCAGTGCACTGCAGGACACACACCACACTTAACCACTGTAAACTGAAACAGAACCAATGATCCTCAGAGGGTGTATTCTGCTTATACACGATTCTGCAATACACACACATTTACACTTGGACACCCTCTCAAATTAATTTGGACAGCTTACTATAGCCTTCTAAAGAACTGGCAGATGGTTTGCATACCTTGCAGCCATTAAAACTTTACACTGTAACCCCCTCTGATCCTTCAAGATAAGCATACTCTTATCACATAGGAATTTGGAGAGAGAAGGTCTTCCTAACTTAAATGCCACAGGAAAATATGCGTCTGACTTTGCAAGTAGCAGTTTCCTCCATAAGGATTTTGTCCATATTGCCCAAATCTGTTATTTTCTACTGTTTAGAAAATAGTCTTTGAGATGTTGAAAACAGAATGCAGGCAAATGTAATGCGAAAAAACCTCAAGCAGGTATTAAACCCTGCCTGGAACCAAATCCTAAGGACAAAAGCAAATGTTAAGCTTTGTAATTCTCTCCTCAAGTAAGACTTACTAGTGGTACACAGTTCTAATCACCGTTGTTCAAAAGTCACCCTTTTGACTGCACAATGTAATAAAACAGGAAGTGGTATGTGCCAGGCTTCCTCCTGAAAGGTATTAACAGTAGGAGCAGCATTCCCACTGCTAAAGCTCAAGGATTTGAGCAACAGTGTCCTACACATTGTGTAAGCACAGCTTACACAACTAATTTCTAACACCCCATTCATCTAATTGTTCTCATCATGAACTGGAACAAATGGAAGCAGCAAAAAAAATAAATAAGCATACTTGGGACATATATTTGAAGTAAACTTCGTATTTCTTTTATATAACCTAATTAAGGTTTGGGAAGTTTAACTTAACAGCATTCTGAAAATATTAAGGCACTCCAGACAAAACTTACAAGAATACGTGCATTTAGCTAACACGTTTTACTACCTGACATTACTCAAACATCATGGATATTTAAACACAAATGTATATAAACGCTTCAACAATTACATCAGGCCAGAATTCTCAGCAACTGATACACACGAATACTAAATTTTCTTACACCTCAAGTGGCTGGCTGAATTTTTCTTTACATCTTTTTCATTGAAGATTTTTCTGTGCTGGTGTTAGTAAATCTTTGACAGGACAAAACCATGCTGTAGTCCATTACACAAACTAATATAACAAATCTCTTTTGTTAACTGCATTACTTAATCCTGATCCCAAAAAATTAAGTAACTTCTTTTCACTCAAACGGCATTAACACTAACAAAAATTATTTAGCTAGTTAGAACATTGCCTTACCGTGTAAATGCCAATTCTACAAACAGCAAATGAGAGCTGGATACATTCAGACATAGTCTAAAGAAATTAAAATAAAGACATTACCAAGAATGCTATTTATTAACAATAAGTTTTCTTCCCATCTCTCCCCTCTCCCTTGAAAGAAACACCTGATGGTATATGACTATCTTTCTTCAGTAAGGCTGTATTAAACAAGCTGAGAAAAATGCCATATAAACTCGGATTATGCAGATACTTACTACTTTTCATACAGAAGCAGCTGACAACACCATTACACTTACTAATTCAGTGTTTCACTATAGGCCTCAAATTATCTAATGGTCCCCAAAATGGCTGTACACAACATTAACATTTTGCATACAAGCTTTCAGTCCCATTTATTTTTACCTACTCTGGTTTAAAAACAACCTGCAATAGACATTTTAAGAGAGTAACATGTTTTTGGCTTCTTAGTGGAGTGTAAAGAGCTTCCATGTTTAAATATTATAGTTCTTCTCTCCCTGTATCAAAATTCAAATTCTCTTCCTCTATATACCAAAATAACACATTTAATTTAATGTTCCCACATTTCTGAAGTCATAGTCCTTTAACTTTCTGAGATTTTCATGTTCAAAATAGAACTCTCTACTGTCTTGAATATTTTGTTTAATCTGATCCTACAGCTGTGAATAATCATGTTAAAAGTTTTTACCCTCAACTCGCTCAACTTCCAATCTGTTGTGATGTCACAATTCTATGTCTTCTGCAGTCACCCAGAGAGGCTGAGGATGGACTACGAATTTCTGACAAAACAGATGAAAAACACCTTCTTTAAACAGCAAAAAGAAGCCAGAAAATAAATGCAACCCCCCACATACCAAAATAAAATCCATTTTAGCTCTGCGATTTTTTTATACAGTCAAGTATAAAAGGCTTACAATGATTTATCGATTATAGTAATTCAGGAATTACTTTAAACAAGGTATTTGAGAAGTCGGCGTAGGTAAAAATTAAAGGAATCAAGTGGAACATTTTTACTGTAAGTTTAACAAGTTCACACATTATCTGCATGTATTTTAAGATGTTGAAGGTGAAGGGCTGGATGCTACAGACTTCAAACAGTATCAGTGAAAAGTTCTGCCCCCACCATCTCTGCTTTCTACCCCCTCTCCCCCCAAAAAAACTAAAATTTAATTACCAATTTAATTAGAATCATGATTTAAAAAATTAAAAGAGCAGCTCTTACGAATTATGAGTAATAAAAAATGTGTAACAACATTCTTTTTTGCTCTGTTAAAATTTAAATTTTAAACAAACAGTACTTCACTGCACTGTCTGAAAGTCAAAAAGCACAGCACAAAAACATGAGAGCAAACCTCAACAGCATGGCTGATTTTCTTTTTTTACTGGAAGCAATCTAGAATATTATTACTGACAAGGAAATGCTGCTTCAAAGCACCATTAAGATTGCCAGGATATTTTTTCTCTTTCTTTTTTTTCAGCTGTCAGAACAAACATCAAATTTTACAACTTGTGCTCCGAGTTTCCCACAGAAAAAAAGCCACAGAAAAATAGGAATAGAACTGACTTTGTGTAACAAAGGATTTCTCAAAGTGGTGGGGTGGTGTTACAAACCATACGGATAACCCTTCCAAGAGTATCCGCAGACCCTGTTCCAAAGGTTCCAGGGGTAGATGACTTCCCTAAGCAATCTAGTGCTTCACTACCCCTCCTACTGGAAAGTTTCCTAATGTTTAACCTGAGCCTGCTGCAATTTAAGCCCATACTTAAACACAGGGTAATACATTCAGTGATTTGTATTTTCAGTATCGTGACAGATTCTATGTTGACAGCAGACTCAACTTTGTATATAAAGTAAAATATTATTTCAGGTTGCACGGGAAGTAAACATGCAGCAGCAGCAAACCATTACAGTTTCTCAATGTAAATAGTTTTATTCTGCACAAGTGCAACATTATAAATAATTTTCCTTTTTTCGTTTTTGTGCAGTACTTCCAGGCTACATGTTCACCAGAGAACTAAGCTGCAGTTCAAATTCACCAGCGAGTGCCTGTCGACCCCTGCTTCAGTAGAATAAAGCAAGCTGTATCTGTGTTACCTTACTCATCTGTTGCTGAGCTCGCTACTGTTAATGTTTTGAAATCAACAAGCTATGACAAGGCATAAATTCTGAAATTACCTCCTCTTCCTGCTGTCACATACAGTACCAGTGAATGTTCCCCCTATGCATATGCCCATGAAATATTAAGCTAATCCCTTCCACAAGCCTCCAAGATAATGCTTATGATCTGCAATCCACAGTGTTAAAGGAGCTCATCAATTCCAATGCTGTTATTAGCTTCCCGCCTATATTCACCCCTCCTCCTTCTCCCCGAAAATTTACATCCCTCCCAACACTGTCAGTTTAATCACTGAAAAAGCATCAGAAATTGATTTAAATAATTACATCTTTAGTGACACTATCCTACAGATTATCAGTCTCATCACCGAATTACAATATACATGATAATCTCCTGCTACAATGGGGAATTTATTCTTGATACTTGTAATCTTTCATTTCTTTGGTTTTGCAACTCATTTTGGACCATACAATTGGGTAACAAAACAATTGTTAGAGAATTTGCATTTAATTTACTTACAGTTTATTGTTGCTTTCTGAAAGGATTTTACATGGTAAGCATGAAAGTAAAAGAAAAAAATAATGTAAAAACATACCTACAAATATTACAAAAAAGATACCATGTTTGATACAATTCTACAAAGAAGTATTCTTAACAGAAGTCACTTCACATGTCTAAAGTGAGAAACGGAGTCATCAGGTCAAGTATGTCAAACAACATAAGCGTGCACCTCTGCCAATATGCACCCTTCTGCTTAGGCAAAGGGTCACCTCACAAATATTAAATAATTTCTCCGTCTGGAAACTAAGCTCATGGCTAACATACATACTTGCCCAAAACTTTGTTATTTTAATCATATGTTGTGAAAACGTGACTGCTCATAATGACTTTGAAAGATGCCTGCCTTGCAGCTGTTCACAAACCTTCACACAGCTCTGACACAGGCACACATTGATCTGCAATGGCACAAATGGCACAAATTCATGGCTTGAAAATTAAATTCCTACCCATAACATTTACAAGAGAGCAAATTTTGAAGAGATGAATTAGAACATGTTCTGCAGCTGATCACTTCAAAGCTGCAATCACCAAGTTGAAAGCGCTAGTTTCAAGAACCTGGGTTGGCAAAAGGGAAGACGGGATCCTGGTCAGCTTCTCGTAAAAAGACACAAAAGGCTCGACACCTGCCAGAATTTCAGGAGCCGGTATCCTCAATGCTGCTAACCAACAGAAATACCCACCTTGACCTCAGCTTGCTTTGCCATAACCCTAAATAAATTACAGCACTAAGTATAGCTCCAAGACTACACAACCAGAAAGCAGTATGAGAAGAGGAAGTTGTTGTGTTTTTTTCTGGTGATACGTTTCTTTAGTAAACTAAAGATTAAGATGCCCTCCTGCTCAGTTATAAAGAAGTGGTCAACCCCAGTAATCATCTGGAATTACTGAACCTTCCAGAAAAACCTTTTGCGCCTCCATTCTCAGCTGCATCTTTTTCAGCGCGTAAGAAAATGTGAAAACTAGCAACATAAGCGTAAACAACATGCAGATTTTAAGGTACCAATATGTATGGATATTCTCAGAGCTTATGTGTTTTAAAGAACTCGTAGGTACCCAAAAGCACACACAACTATGCTACAGTACAAGTGGCAGGAACTTTCACCAGAACTGCTGTTTGCTAAGCCTTGTGTACTGAACTCCAAGCAGTAACTCAAAGGCTCCTCTTTCTGCACAAGATGTCACAGCCCTCTAGCACATTCCATTAGTAACATTTCCAATTTAAAACTCCCCAAATTCTTTTTTAATACAGTTCTCAGGGATAAAAGACACACAAAATATTTTCATACTCTCCTTTAATGCTGAATAATTAGATTTTAAAAATATCAGTCTTCTTGTAGATAATCATTAGAAAAATAAATCCGATTTTAGAGACTAGAAGAAACCCCATGCTGACGGAAAGGCAATGATATGTGAACAGGAAATAGGATTGGACCCAAGAACTCTCTTGTCATCATAAAAAGCAATCAAGTGGATGCACCAGAGAACAATGCTCTCCCCTCTTTTAGGCAATATTCTCACTAGGACAGTTTTCCGTGACTGTTTCCAGGACTGCAATGGTTCAGACAGTGAAGGATGCAGATTAGCCAACACAAAATTAATATCTGCAGGAACAACACAGACATTTCTCAAAAACTCTGGACCTTTTCTCCAGCCTTGCTGAAACCTGAAATGATGCAAGCTTCTAGGCAAGAATAAAGCACTGAGAGATCACTCACTGTAGAATGCATCATCACTCTGCACTCTACACAGCCTGTGAGTTCAGCTTCAGGTTCTATCAGTATTGCGGGCCCTACGTATAAAGTCATAAATTGGTTAGGATGCAAATGTTGGAAGGTAAATTGCCTCTACTCATATGTCAAGGCAGCACCTCCAGGCAGAAGGAACCCTTTAGCTGCAAGTCCCTGGAGCAGATTAAGTATCTTCATAAATCCCTCTGAATTAAAAAGTCTCACCTCCTGTGCAGTCAGTGCAATTCTGCTTACACTGGGGAGTACTCCTGGACACCATCCAGAGTATCTCCATTTTCTAACTGCAATTTCCTGTTCTGGAACTAGATCTAACTGTCCCATCAATGAGGAGGGATGGAGTTGTTTCACACACAGCCTAAGCACCAGGACATACAGGTAACCATATCTCATGGACACATCCTCAGGGTCCAGCAATCACAGCTCCAGGATCTCCACAAGACTACCATCGCATCTGAGCATCATGTTTCATAACCCTCCCCCCAACAATGGGCCTGTCTTCCAAGAAACTCTACAAATTCATAGTCCACTCATTTTGACCTCCCTGAAGTTACTGCACAAGCTAGACCCAGAATTCAACTATACTCGTGTGAAAAAGCAGTTCCTGGATTATAACTGTCATTGAGTT